GTGTGGGTGTGGGTGGGTGTGGGTGTGGGTGGGTGTGGGTGTGGGTGTGTTGGGGTGTAACTTCTAATTACCTACACCCACACTCACACCCGACACCCACACACCCACACCCACACTTGGACTCCATGACACTGTCGAAGGGTTAATAGAGCATAGATCTTGTCAAGATCAAGCCTCTGACACAAAAGTCAAGGAGAATCCGAGTGAAGTAAGGGTAGATCATAGTTTGAATAGATCAACACAGTGAAAATCAAGCTTCCTAATTATATTGAGGAGCTAGTCATCTCTGTCATTATCTAAGAGAAACATTGCTGCCTTCGTGCTCACTGAATTTGAGAGACACATTTCCAACGTTCATCCATAGATAATAATAATAGCATAGTTCTATGAAGCAGAGGATCTAACAAACGACAAATCTCAAAGGTCTACACAAATTCAGAGGTCTTTGAGGTCTATGTGTTTAATCATAAGGAACCAAAACTTTTTCTTCCATAAACTTAAATACTATCATTGCTGTTTATATTATATAGTCAACGATAAAATATCATTTATCTGTTATTTAAGTATTCTTTGTCTACGTATTTGAAGCTGATTACTTAAAATAAAACAAATGTCAACGACATGATTCGTCATATGCCGAAAATTGATACTTTCTGTTTAACAACCTTGTTATTTCAAAACGATTAGCAGAAGCTTCTGTGCATCCCGTCGACAATAGATTTGCACGTGAGATAATATGTGAAAGCAGGCAAAAAAAAAGAACATGAATACTATGAACTCAAAAATAATTACATCCAAATATTTTATGAGAATTTTTTTTTCATTCATCATGATGCTTCGATGAATAGAAAAACTTCAAATGGAATCCAATCGTTCTGTATTGATTCATCGTAATGCATCTCTCCTTATCTACGAAAGAAACACATTCATTTTCATTCATCATCACATGTCAAAAATTATCAGTTTATTTTTCTTTTTTGGCCGCAGGTGAGCAGAGACGCCAGAAGAAAGAAAGATGACATTCGTCATACTTCTTCAAGAAAGCAAAAGAACAGAAAAAAAAACTCATAGCTACGACACACATCTTTGCTTTTTCTTTCATTGCAACATATAAAACGTGCAACATTTTCGTCCGACTCAAGTCACATTGCGAGCAAAAAGATACAGACGAAACACAAAGATGAATTTGGAATCGTTGTCCAACGAATTATTACTCGATCTATTTGAATATATTTCTGTCATTCATCTTCTTCGAGCTTTTCGTGGTCTCAATGCTCGTTTCGATGCTCTTCTATTTACTCATTTTGAAATTTATGGTCATCTCGACTTTCAATCTGTGTCCAAACATGATTTTGATATTGTCTGTCAACAACATCTTCCATCTATCATTGATCGAATTATTTCACTTCGCCTATCCGACGACGATGATACTCCACAACAAATCGATATTTTCATATCGTATGGCTTTACTCTTCGTCAATTCCTTCAATTACAAACACTTTCATTATATTACTTGTGTTCATACGAAACAACAATGAAAATAATAGAAGAATTACATCATTTGCCCTATCTTACTCATGTCAATTTTATCAATAATCATTTTTTATGTGACGAAACAGATAGTGAGAATATGATAAATACTATTTGGAGTCTACCAAAACTTACTCATTGTCATTTAAATATTAATTTTCATCAAAATGAACGATTTTTTCCTAGATTAAATACGATCTCATCATCTCTTGAATATCTTTCTATCGAAAAGTTTAATTTTGATTTAAGTAAATTAGATCATCTATTTCAACATACACCACATATTCGATATTTTCATGTACGTTTGTTCGATCATTCATTCGATCAACAATTATCCTGTTCTATGCCATTGGTGATAATATTGAAACTTATAATTCAAACTACGTTATATCAATTAGTGAATCTTTTGCAAAATTTGCCCAATTTGTGTCATTTGAAAGTCGAGACACTGGGCATCGACTTAGATGGGCAACAATGGGAACAGATAATAATTAATCATTTACCTAAACTTAAAATCTTTCAACTTAAAATGCATATTAAACTCGAGGATGATGATGATGATGATGATGATAAACAATTAAAAATTGATAAATTAATCGCTTCATTTCAAAGTCCATTCTGGCTTGATGAACATCAATGGTTTGTCCGATGTCACTGTGTTGAAGAATGTTGTCTCAATAGTATTGTACTCTACACATTACCATATGCATTTGGTTATTTTGATCCTATTGTCAAGATCTCGTCGAAATCTACTTGTCCACATGAAAATGATTATTGGTCTTACAATCGTGTACATAGTTTGATCTATCGGACTCCCATAGCTCGAGAATCGGCTCTATCTAAATTTAGTTTTCCCAATGTTCATCGTCTTTGTCTCAGTCTTCCTTCTAATGATCATTTTTGGTCTGTCGTTATCACACTCGATCAATTGATTTCACTTGATCTAGCACTGCACGATGATGATGATAATAGTAATAATCATGTTCGATCTCAACTGCAAGTCGTTCTTGATCGAGCACCTCGTCTCTATTCCTTAGCATCCAGGTCGTGGTCAGATTCTCAAATGTGTCTCGTTGACAATAGAAGTTTGTCAGTTCGTCGACTTGATTTACAAGGATATGATGAAGATTGGCTCGAGGAGCGATGGTTCGACGATGAGTATTGTGCTAAATTATCTTGCTCATCACTTGGTATTCAATGTGAAGTGCTTCTCATTCGAGTTGAACATCGAACAACTATAATTGATCTTGTCAATCGAATGACAAATCTTCGAGCATTAAATATCAAGTGTCGAGATGATACATTCAATGAGTCTAATAATCGAT